CAATTAGAATTTTTTTACAGTACATTGTATATTATTTAAAAATTTCAGATAAATGCAGAGTTCTTGCGGATCACCACCAAGCCACTGCGATCGAAGTTACTGGCGCAGCTGGACCATTTTTCAGAAAAACTAATACAGATCTTTAACAAGAAAGGAGGAGTGAAGGGGCAAAAGATTAAGGCCGTCCTGGCAATCAAAGATTCTGTAAGTAAAAACCCATGGGAAATGCTTACACTGTATTGAGGTGATTTATTGCAAGGTTTTTTGTCCTTAGCTGCTCATTTAAACACATTTAAGAAATGGTAAATGGCCTGTTTATATGGTGTTTTTATCCAAAGCACTTAATTGCATTTACATTTAATTTACCCAACTCACACGCTAACCAATGGCATTATTTAGACAACCTGCTCTCCTCCCTGTTCAGCCGTTGCACCCACATTTGGCTAAATTCTATCTTGATTCTTCCCGCTGCTTTAGTGTGACAACATCGACATCAGGAGGGAGTGCATCCTGAGGAGCCTTGTGATCTACCTCAATGAGGATCCAGACTCTCTTTTTCAAGGAATATCTGGTAAGTATATCACAATATGCCTCCCATACGGCATTACACAGTTACTTCTTCCATGGCACATTATTATTTAATTACGTGTGTCCTAATGCAAAAAAAAATTCACAAAAGTATTTTGTGTTTTAAATATAAATGATTTTCTCCACAAAGTAGTTTTTACTGTACACAATACTATATACAGTATATATTTAAAAGTATTAGCAATTTTCATCAAACACATACAATATTATATTTATATAAATGCTGGACCAGCATTTACCAACTGCTTGAGAAACTTTACTGAATAAATTGGGATTTTTAGACTTCCCTGCTGTTATTAGATCTGAGACTGACAAAGCTGGCTGTCAGGTTTATACATATGCAGTCCCAGGTCTTACACTTTTTCCTCCTTCTCACGCAAGTACTGAACATCCAGACCTACATTTCTGTCAGCTGTTGTCTTTGCTCTGTGATGAAGCACCACTATCTATCTGATTCCATACACTGTAATGAGGAAAATTCTATGGCACACCACCATCCATACCCATGGCTTGATGTTTTAGGTAAAATATTTCAAGCTATGGGATAGGTCATGTCTGCAAGTCCTTCAGCACTTAACACTGTGTGACTCCAACTTCACATTTTAAGTGTTTTTAGTTTATGGTTTTTACTGTTCAGCATTCTTCTTAACACAAGTGTTGTGTGTATGTGTTGCCGTTCAGGCCTCCGCCGCTGAGGATGCAGAGAGGGACATCACAAACACAGTCATGGGGATTTACACGATCCAAAGAAATGGTGCTGAGAAGTCAGAGGATGTGGGAATTGTGATCGAAGGCATTAAAGTCCTGAGCAACGTAGGCAGTGTCATCATGGGGTTCATCATGCTGTTTGGGCTCATTTATGCCCTTGATTTAAGCTTTCCAGAAAACCTTAAGTATACCTTCGAGTTTTTCCAGAAGGTTATAATGAATTTGGATGGGCACAAGCTGAATACAACGATACAGCAGCTAAAAATCAAGTTGTTTGCATAACAGGTAAACACCAGGTGACAAAGTACACTTTTGTTTGTTTTGCTTTTTCATTTTTGGCTCAGTCAACAGCCAATGACCATCAGAGGCAGACTTTGGAAGTTATTCACTGGACTTTAACATATGACTGCAAGCTGTTTAACAGTAATGATGAAGGATATACAACCATGGGAAGTAGAGTGATTTTGCACTTCCCAGACAAACTAAGGGTTGATTGGGTTTAAGTTTGGAATTCCATGGTCTTCACCTCAAGTTTGCCTGCTTCGCCTCCACATGCTAACTCAAGTCTGACTCTACCCTCCACTCTTTTCAACTTGCCATAAAGCTGATGGCAGTGTCAGCTGGTGCATCCATTTTTTTTTTCCACAACTCAAGTTGAAATGGATCTAAACAGATTACAACAAAACTGTAATTCCCTTTGATTGTGAATGGCCAGAACCTTTTTTGTGTAACAAGTCAAACTTTACAGTTTGTTACATTTAAATGAATATGGGTATCCATATTAGTTATTAGATGGGTTACTGGTCGATGCAACCAGTTTCTGTTAGCCCCTAGGATAATACACCAAAAACTGTTTTTCAGGGTATGAACATTGAACTGTTTGTACTTAAGCCTGTTAGATTAAAAATTTCTCAGGGGTAAAAGTAATTCCTGCAAATATTTTCTATAGCCTTGATGTTACATAGCTTTTATTACATATACAGTTGCTGTATATTTAGAATGTTTTATAATTGATGTTTAAACTGTTCTTCAGTTAGTATTAAGAAAATTTAATAGAAGTTGTTTTGCCTCATTGATGGTTGTTTTATTAAAACCAGACATTGGCATCCCCTGTTTGTAAAGCAGTGCAAAGCTCTCCATCTACAGAGCCTTTTTTTTTTTTTGCTCAGGCATTCGGAATAACTGGGAATTCATTTTCGCCAGTTATGAAGCTTTTACATACTATTTCAGTTCACTGCTCTTAAATCCCTTTAAAAAAAAAATTAAATGAGCCTTGTAAGTGATTTCCAGGTTGTTCTAACATTTAAAACTACAGTGTAAGCAGCACCTTTTGTTTTACTGGTTATCAATAAAAACATCTCAAATACGTTTTGTCTCATGTCTTAATTGGAAATAAAAATGGAAAACATAACTTAATAACTTTATTTCCTATTAATAGTATTAGTTTGAGTTGGACAAACAAATAATTTTACCTTATTTATTGTAATTATTTTATTGTAGCTGCATTTGATAAAACTTAGTTGGACTAACTCAATTAAATTATAGTGCATGGATGTATTTCATTTGACTTAGAGCTATATATATTTATTGGATGGAAATCCTGCCCACAATTTAATTGAGATCATCCAATGGGTTATTTTTTTCAGTGGACAATAAAGTGATGTTAACCACTTACATCTCTCTCCAATTTTTTAATTTCAAGCTTCAGTTTTTTTATTTTCAGTTGTCTATATTCGAGGTCTGCTTTTCGGACTTCTGTTTCCTGGATCAAATACCTCTTGTAAATAGCACGGATATCTGTCTCATTAGAAGGAAAAAATTATTATTCATTCATTCTTATTAATTACATTAAACAGTTTATTACTTACCTTCTTCCTTTGACGGTCTTTGAGTACATGTGGGCTGTGCTGATGAGGGCTGAGAGCATTGGCCACCTGGGTCATCAGACTCCTGTACACAGCAAATACTGCATGGGTTACAGAGCATGTGAGCGGAGTGGAGCAGTGAAAATTTCCGGTCCTCGCTCACGAGGCTGTTGGCTCCACCCGCTCCTCCGCTCTAATTCTCACTAAGTCGCTCCGCTCCACACCGCTCCTCGCTCCACTAAAATTTCCACCCGCTCCAGTCAAATCGCTCCACGCTCACTCCAATTTAAAAGAGGGACAAATAATCTGAATGCCTAACAAATATCACCTTAAACCGATGCCTTATATCATAAAGAAATGTGAGCAACGGCACTCAGAACAGAAAATATTTATTTTTAAACAACATATAGGTTTGGCAATGGCATTCCACACAAAATAGGCTTAAAAATAA